TAGCTTCATTGGTTAAGAATTTTTGTTAACCAGACGAGATGATACTGTGGCACTCTTTAAGTTTATCGCGCAAATGGATTTCATTGTACAAAACACATGGCTATAGTAGGTTAGGCATAAACGGTTTTTTAACACAGTAGGTTACTGTAGGCACCTCGTCGTCGACGGGAACGTCTCCTCCCACTGAATGTGTATCGCCGAAAATCCTGAAATAAATTCAGAAATAAATGCGAGCACCAGGACTTGAACCCTGATGGGCTGAAGATACCACAATCCCTCTAACCATCCAACCACAAGTTGGTTTGCCATAAACGTTATTTTCAGAGGTAGAAGAAAATGATCCGGCCCATAAACTTTCATCAATACCTTAGATCAGTTCGATTGACACAGATTATTTTCAGCCACCAATTGAATGGTGCTCCCATATTTTCTCAGTCTAGTAACAATATAGTATAGGACCTCTTCTGTTCTACTAGCACAGATGCAAAATGAATGGGTGACGCTACTTGACGGCCAAGCCTCCGAGTGACGTGCATCGGGTGTCTTCCTGTTAGCTAGATAGAGTGGACAGATATCAGGTATGTACACCATGCATATGATTCCTCAAAAGGGATATCTACACCAAGTCAGCATAACTAAACTTAAGAGAAAAGAAAAGGTTTTGGTCGATGGTGATATGATAGCGACCAAGACTCAGCCTACTAGATTTTTTTAGTGTGTGGACAATATCTACTAGTTAGTTAGTGTCAAGCCATACTACGCACGGCCCAGTTTTTCTTTTCCGAAAAACATGAAGAAATAGGAACAAGACGAATGAAATTCAACTAAAGTACTAGGAAAAAACGTAGCATCAGATGTACAGGGTAAATAAAGTGTGACGTACATATAGGACTTGGTGAAACGAAAACTAATTAATCCTTTCAGAATCGTTCGATGCCAAAAAAGTAATCATCCGATACCTGATAGAGAAACGAGCTGTTCATTTCATTTCATTTCATTTACAGTAATTTACTTGACTAGTTTATTTATTCGGAAAGGCCTGGAAGCGTCCGATACCATGCATATATCAAAATCATGAGCTGATCAGTAAACCGATACCATGCATATATCAAAATCGTGAGCTGACCAGTAAACCTCGATTGGTCGCCCCGAGCAACCATGTTGACCTAATCGATCGTATAATAAACGAAGGTTCCGTGCGTTTGGGACTTGGGAGTGACGGGCTGAGGACGTAGCTAGCACGTGACGCGGAATCTGTTGTTGTGTAGTTTGACAATTTCAAGTAGGATTGTTTTATACTATTTACGAAAATTAAGACTGTTCTCCTATGTCATTCCTGTTTTCCAACAAAACAATAATAATAATACTCGGCTGCGTTCGGTCACGAACTTCCATGCGTTTTTAGGAAGAAGACGAGCTCGACCAAACAAAGACGTTTTTTGTTTTGTTTTGCGGGTAATAGAGGTGTTGTTTCTTTGTCACTGCAACACATGGAACTGGACGATACCTCATGCGTCACCGCAAAAATTAATTGTATATTTTGTGAATATTGTGTAGAATATTAATTCAGTCACTACGCTTTAATCTTATAAGAAATTTCTGCATGGGCAAACAAAAATCTTGACATTGAAAGTTGTTTATGGTATCACTAAATGCAACGTGATTTAAAATCCATTTGAAACGTGACTACTTTTTTTTTGCGGGTGGAATGTTACTACATGGTAAAGGATTGTAGATATGTACGCTAGTGGATCAAGTCAGTATATCAAATGACTATAACAATTCTAATTTTTTTATGATGTAAAAGCAGATATATTGAGATAATTCTCTTAGGTATATAAGATTCTCATAAGATGCCAATAACAATATGTATTTTTAATTAAAAGTTTGCATATTATTAAAATATTAGGGCAACTCTAACGCGGATTACTAAATCTGCCTCAAATTCTGGACCATACAGTTTGGACATTTTGAACCATCCCATCAAATGTTCATGGATCATGTTACGAGATTCGCTAGAGCTTTCGACTCCGTCTCTTGTGCTTTCTTGCTCGAGACCCTGCAACACCTCGGCTTTGGGCCACGGTGGTGCGAGTGGATCTCCATTCTTCTCTCCACGGCCAAGACTCGAGTCCTCATCAATGGGAGGCCAGGCCCACCGGTCCTCCATGCGAAGGGGCTGCGCCAGGGCGATCCCGCCTCCCCCATGATGTTTGTCTTGGCCATCGACGCGCTGAACACTCTCATGCAGCGAGCGGTCATTGTGGGGGTCCTTCGTCGGCTTACCTCTAGGCGGATTGCTTCGAGTACTTCCCTATTCGCGGACGACGTCATCATGTTCTGCCACCCGGACGAGGACGAGCTAACCATCATCAAGGCCATCCTCCACACTTTTGGGGCAGCATCCGGTCACCGATGAGGCAACGACTGCGATGGGCGCAACCCTAGCTTGCCAAGTGTCCTCCTTCCTGGTCAAATACCTTGGACTGCCGCTTTCCATTCGCAAGATCCATTCTTCGGCCCTCATGCCCTTGCTGGACAACCTAGCAAGGAAGTTATCCTCCTGGCGGGCCTCACTTCTCACCCGAGGCGAGAGACTAGGTCTAGTTCGACACGTCCTCACGGCAATGCCAGTTCACATCATGCTAGCCATGGCGCTCTGCCCCACCATCTTGAAGCCGACGAACCGCCTCATTCGAGATTTTCTATGGCATGGCAACAAAGATGCAAGGTCGGGTAGCTGCCCCGTCAACTGGCAAAGGGTGTGTCGTCCGCGGTAGCTTGGGGGCCTCGGCGTACGTGACTTGCAGCGCGCCGGCATCGCTTTGCGTGCATGCTGGCTATGGCTTCAGGCCACCGATCCGACGAGGCCCTAGAGCCATCTTCACCTGCCCGCTGCCTCCGACATGAGACAGATCTCCCGCGCCTCGACCTCCTGGACACTCGGAGATGGCAACAAGTGTTGTTTTTGGACTGACCCTTGGCTTGACGGCTCCTCCATCACCGAGATTGCTCCCGCTCTCGTCGCCCTCGTTCCTAAACGCCGCCGTAGCCGCATGCTTGTCTCAGAGGCCATCCCAGGTAGGGCCTGGATTGGGGACATCCAGGAGGCCCTGGGGGTGGAGTCTAACATCCAGTATGTGGATGTGTGGCGGCGCCTTCGTGGCATTTCGCTTTAGAGCTCACCGAACACCATTCGCTGGAAGTGGACCGAGAGTGACACCTACTTCGCCAAGTCATGCTACCTCGCGCTATTCCAAGGATCCATTGCTTCCCCAACCTGGAGCCTCACTTGGAAGTCTTGGGCACCAAAGGGGATCAAGATCTTCCTCTGGATTGCCGGCCTTGATCGTTGCTGGACCTCTGCACGCCTCGCCCGCCACGGATTACCGCACACCGCCACTCGTGCACTCTGCGACTAGGACGAGGAGACTATGCACCACTTGCTTGTGGGATGCGTCGTAACCCGCACCGTGTGGTACGATATCCTATCCTGGTGCCGCCTCACTAAGCCTCCACCAGACGCCACCATGGACTTCTATGACTGGTGGGCTACGGCCCTCCACGATTCCTCGGTGTGCCAGCGCAAAGGCCTTGCCTCTCTCGTCGCGCTGACTGCGTGGACCATATGGAGGCATCGCAACGCTTGTATCTTCAACGGCGCAACTCCTTCCACCACCCTCCTGACTCATGATGTTAAGGAGGAAGCTCGCACGTGGGCCAACGCCGGTGCTCGAGGGCTTAGATCGATCATAGGTGTAACCTGACCTTATTGTACGCGGGCTGAGCACCCCCTTTCTTTGCTCAAAGCGACCTCATAAGCGCCTACCAGTGTACGCTTCATGAGGTCCGCCACTGTTTATTCTCCCCTTCTATCAATGGAATGATACGCTCTACGCGTATTCGCAAAAAAAATCACGAGATTCGGACATCTATATTTTCATAAACTTGCACCAATTCGAGGGGAGGTTTTAAAAGTCCGGACGTCCTGACCCAATGATAGTTGGACCACATCTCCCCATAGTCCTTGTGCCCCACTCATCTATTTTTGCTCTCGGTGTGCTAGACCCAATGTCACTTACTACGGATTTGATGACCACGGTATAGGCTTATAGCCCATTATCCGGATTTGATGACCACGGTATCCGGATTTAATGACCATGGTTGCATAACTTCGACCGAACACATCCAGACATGTCTGTGGACATTAGATGATTCAAAATAAATAGGTCATCCGCTTTGAAGTTGCCCTTGGCTGCCGGCGATGCGAAACGGAACGCAGATGCTTATCGAAATGGATAACAACAGCAACAAATTAATGCGGTTTAATTAGCTGACCAGGACATGAAACCGCACATGGAGGAGACTACGGGTGCGTTTGGATCTCAAGCAAGCCTTACTCTAGCCTCGCCCAACCAGGATAGTTGTTTGGAGGAGTAGAAAAAAGCTAGCTTTGCCTAGCAAACTAGCCTGCGTGAGCTAGAAAATCCTTGCCCGGACAGGAGAGCCGATTTGGCTCGCCTCCATCGGCAAGAATTGAACACAAGCATATTAAGCATGTAACTGCCGCTGTAATCGTGGTTTAGTGGAGGCTAGGCAAATGAACCAAACAAGTGGCCTTGCTTGTATGAGCTATGCCTAGAGTGAGATAGAATCCTATTGCCTGGCTGGGCATGTTTAGCTAGAGAACCAAACACACCCTACATGCCCGCCCAGTCTACGGCTGACCAATCTAGCTCACGACCATGATGACGCGCTCGGCGCCCATGAAATTAATAACAATTGCTTAACCTAATCACATTTTTCCACCGCGAGCTGCCTGATTACTCGCGCACTCTCCTCTATATATAGGGGGATACTGCCATCTGTGCGACCAGATCACCGTCTTCGTCTCTGTCTCTCGAGCCCTTTAGCGAAGGGAAAGCAGAGCAACGCACAAGAAGCACACGCGACTGCGCGACTCGTTGGTGCGCCGGCCAAATAAGCCTAACCCACTGGCGATGGCGGCGGCTGAGTGGTGGTGCTGGCCGCTGCCGGCGTGGCTGGGCTCCGGCGCGGCGTGGTTCGTAGTCCTGAACCTCGTGGTGGGCGCCATCTTCGCCCTGTCGTCCCGTGCGCAGCCGCAGTCGTCCCTGCCGCGCCGCGGCGGGAGCGGCAGCGGGATCACGCGCAGGGCCTCGTCGGCGGTGCTGCAGCGCATCCGCTCCTTCAACATCTTCTCCTTCCCGTCCTCGTGCTTCCACACCGCGGAGCCGAGCCCGGGCGCCACCGCCACCTTCCGCGACGAAACAGAAGACGCGGCGACGGCGAGGACGAGGTCGCCATCGACGCCGCGTCCACCACAACCGCAAGCGGCGGTAGAGGACGACGACGTGGAAGACGAGAGCTCGATGAGCATGGACGAGGCGTACGCGCTCGTCCTAGCGGGGCGGCAGCGGGCGCCGCCGACGGAGGAGGAGGCGGCGGGGTCCGAGGTGGACGCCAAGGCGGAGGAGTTCATCCAGGGGTTCAAGGAGGACCTCAGGCAGCAGCGCCTCAAATCCATCTTCAACTACACCCAGATGCTCAAGCGCCGCGTTGCCGCCGGCCGGCCGGCTGCCGCTCCGTGATCGGCTCACGTGATCGTTGAAAGTTCACAGTAATCCAGCTGCGAGCTACTCAGGATTGAGTCGTTGTCCTGGACGTCGCCGTCTTTGATTCACATGTTCATTGATTCATTTGCTTTATTTACAGAGAATTGAGCTGTCCTTTTTGAGTTGCTTGCTCTCGTGTACATAGGCATTTCGGTTGTTGGTTTGTGCAGATTGCTTCTAGCGGGTTTCCTTTTATTGGCTTGCTTTGCATGCAGTGTTCTTTGTTGTAAGTGCATTCATTCATTTGTAAATTGTTCTTCAACTGTAAAGTGTATTCATTTATTAGTATAAAATTCAGACATGTTTCTCATGCAAACAAATACCACATACACAAAAACCATTTTTATGATCCAAAAAAAATCAAACTTGTCTAAATATTCCAACTATTCTCTCCTTGAAAGATTGCTCAACTGACAAGACTTGTTTACGACATTTGAAGGAAGGCGGAATTTTGTAAGGAAATAAGAGCTTTGAGTTAATTAAAAAACTAATTGAATGAAGAGAAGATCACTAGTATTCCTCGATGTCTCAAAATTTAGACATAAATCTCTTTCTTAACCCTGTTTGAATTTATGCCATGTGAAGCCAACATAAGCGAAAATCCATCTCTGCACCCAACATAAGCCCCTGTTTTATTTACTTTTTCTACCTAATTAGTTTTCATACAATTGTATTTCCATTGACATAGGCCTATTGAAACATGGGGTGAATGGTACCACAAGACATAATTGCCAAATAAAACCACAACGAATGGATGATCACTTGCTGATTGATCACAACTGAAGAGTTTTAGCAAAATAATAAGTATAAAAATGCACTCCTATCTTCATGGCCTCAGATTAACCTGAAAAGATATAGAACCCACATGCAGCTATCCATACATCCTCCATTCATTTGATCCCAATATTCTATATAGTGAAGATCCTATTAAACCTTTTATATTACAAATACCTTTTTTAAATCCTAAACCCGTAGTCGCATTGAACATACTTCTTCAGGGCAGTTGCCTGTGCAAGAGCACCCTATTTCCCCTCTTTTATATAACTTTGTTGTGGACACTCTATATGCTATCTTGGAC